ACTTTAAACTTATTTTTGGATCAAAAATCAACCTTATAGTCCTGCCCTGAATATATAGTAACCATATTTATGGGTTTTAACCCGTAAATACTGCCAGCAACAACAACAACAACCACATTGACATCTGTCACGCGCAACTGCAATTGGACAGCGGGGAGTCGTTTGGTTTCGCTTAGGAGGACTGCAAACTGCGGTTTGCCCGCTCTGCTCTGTTTCACCTTTGACCCCTTTGACCCCTTTATGCCCTTACACCTCACGCCTTAACCATTAACCAAATCGATTGGTTGAGTTATTAAGTTACCTACAAACTCTGTGCGGTTTGCTAAGCTAAACGATCGGTTTCTGGCTGTGGAGTTACCCATGTTGGTCAAGGATGGATTTACTGCATGGACTTGGTTTCACTTAGAAATAGTTCATTTTTTATGGCTGATTTGGCCAGGGCAATTGACTATAGGGCCCCTTCACATTGTTATCCCATATCCAATTTAGTTCGGACATTTAAATAAAACGCCCAAAAATATATATCTGCATATCGACCACATTCCACTGTGAATACGATGGGTATTTGGGTCGCGAGTTGAGTGCTTTGTTGTTTTTCTTTTTCTATGTCCTATTTTTGGGGGTTTTTGGACATTGAATAAAAACTATATATACGAGTAGATATATATATATATATATATCCCACTAAACCGTACATAAGTAAAACAAACAAAATGGTAAAATCAATAAGCAAACTCTGGACATGTGAGGAGCAAAATATGCAAGTGGAGTACTCCAAGGAATGGAAATAAAAATGATTTATAAATTGCTTATTTGTCAAAAGCACAGACACACAAGGGCTGTACACTGTACAGAAATTGGTAGTTAGTTTCGGAATATGGTTATATCTAATCTTACAGCAACTTAGCCATGTATCTTTAAGATACAAAATATTCTTCTAGATACTTTCCCCTATCTACTCCCCCCACCTTTTTCTCCCTGTGCAGTAATAACGAACAGTTCTCGGAACCTTACTCCTGGCTACTACCACGCCCACTTGAGCTGGCTGCACTCGAGTGCCACAAATCGAAGACAGGGATCGAAGTCCATGACTTCGCCAGTCACATTATCGTAACTTTTCAATATCGAAGCGTAAACATCGAAAGAGCATAAAATAAGGTTCATCGCTGCTTCTGTTTCTGATATTCCCCAACCCCCCCAACCACCCCAAAAAACCGAAAAGCAAAAACAAAAAACAAATAAAAAACCGAAAATCCAATGAAAATTTTCAAAGGCTTAGCCACTATGGATTGCTATTACTTTTGCTAAACTAAAATTTGCATTTGCCGAAGCTCAGAAAACCGAAAAACGAACGAGAATGGCCAAAAGGCCGCTTACAAAATGCCGGAATTATGACATTTAATTAGCGCAAATGAATCTTTTTTAAGCTCTGGCCAGGGTTACGCATTCAGCGGCTCTACCAATATGCTGCCGGCCATGGCATTAGCAACGGTATTTTCCAAAAATCGACGCCTAATTAGCGCATTGTTGTTGCAACCCAAAAATAATGCCCGTGAAAAAGCAAAAGCAAATTGCCAAAAACCGATTACAGTTGCCATTTCAGTTAGGGGATATAGATTTTGTTATACCGATATGCATTGACATATATATATATCTGAATATATATATATATATATTCATGGCAAATAATGGAAACATTCAATCCGCGGCCAGGGATTTGCACCTGAAAAACAGCAGCACATCGAATTTTTGCATAGAGTGGTCATTGGGCATTAGAGAAAATTTAGACATTTAGTTCGGTGTTAAATATGGAAAAAATGTTTTACAAAATTATAATATTTTTTAAATAAAATATTTTTAAAATGGAAGTAATTTATTATAATTAACTTCAAAAGGCGTTAATTTATTTTTACAAACTTTTTCTGTGGTTTCTAAGGTTTTTTTCTAAGTTTTACTTTCAATTCTTGTAATTCAGCTTCTTAAATTTATAAAATTTATATTTATTATATATATATACATATTATTTGTACATATATATATAAAACAGATACCATTTTTCACAGTCTCAAAGATAAAATAATCACAAAATTAAAACTACCAAGTCAGCCATCTAATTTTTACAACATTAAAGTAAAAAAACAAACTAAACTTTTGCTTATCCCCTTAACAACTATTATTAGAACCCTAATGCCCATTAATACCTTTAACTATTTCCTAATTCCAACTCTAAAATTAAGTGATAATTCCACCTTTTCCACTGCTAATTTCTTTGAGTGAACTGCAGATAAACACAAGTGACATAAGTCGCCTGAAATGACAATTCCTGGGCTTTAGCTTTATGCTATGTTGCTGGTTTCACACACTCACACACTCAACATCCACATACACATTCAGATTCACATTCACCTGAGTCGGGAATCCAAAGTCCCGAATCCAAAAACCCCAAAATCCGAATAGAAAATCGGGAACGGGAACGGGAATGGGAACGGGAAAAACAGTAGCTGCAGCTGCAGAAATAGACGAGGAAACTTGCGGTGCACTTTGACATTTTGGCGCATGTTGAATCAAGTGAAAACCCAATTACATGTCCCGCCCTATCTAGTCGCTTCACTGGCGACAAAACGAAACGTGCAGACAAGTTAACATTCTGGCCAACTTTGCCAGCAGTTGGAAGCTAGAAAATTCAACCATTCACCCCACCACCCAAACCAACCATTCACCCATCTATCTATTCACCCACATGGTGTCCTTGTGCTCACTGGTTATTACAAGAGTGGCGAACATTTTGTGGCCAGGTGTCTGTGGGCGTACAGGTGAGTATCTGTGGGCGGGCACACCTGTGCATCTATATATATATATCTATCTAAGGCTATATAGCTATCGCAGGCAAATTATTGTTGCAATGAAACTTAAGCTGCTTAAACTTGCCGGAACGCTTTCCTTTTTGGCCAAACGGATGATGGAGACATCATCGCCCGTGTTTAACCTGATTTCTAAGGGGTGTGGTGTTTGCCTCGGTTGGTTGAAAGTTCTCCCATCAGGGGGAGCAAAATTGAAAAGCTTAATGGATTACGAGTCAGAGATTAACTGGCTAAGTTTAAAGGTCCACGGAAATCGAAGGTGATGCGAAAAAAAAAATCTCCCATAAATGGCAAGTAAATCCCTAGGACAGCGAAAGTTAGCTTTAGGTTAACTTGTTTGAGCTTGACTTTGACTTGTAAAATGTCTAAAAAAATCATAAAAGCTATAAAATTAGTTTTAATCATAGTTTACAGCATCTTCTTGGAATATATATTCCCTTGTAATGGGTAAAAACTGTTTAAAATAACAACTTAAGAGAGTTGCAACTTCAAATGTCATAGCCCAAGCGAGAAATGCAATAAATAAACATTCAATGTTCTCGCTGAACATGACCAAAAATTGTTAGATTCGCCAAAAGAGCAGACAAATTCGAATAAATCATTGTTAATTTACAAACGCCCCTGTTGATGGCCTGACAATTTTCGGGTGTTTGCGAATGTTTTGGCCAAAACCATGACGAGGACAAGTGGCCATCCGATCTCTGCTAATTAGGCCCAGAAATGTGCCATAAAATAAATGGCACAAATGCGAAATTAAATGGCCCAAACCAGGCCAAAGGACATGCGGCCATTTGATTGATGTCCTACTGCCCGCGTTTCGGTTTCAGTTTCAGTTTCAATGTCTGTGGTTTTCTACGCAACAGATTGTGATTCTGATTTTCTTATATACTATATATATTCTATATGTATATAAATATGTTTTTTCTTTTTTTTATTTTGATTTATTAATTTCGATTTTTACCATTTCGAGTGGCAAACATATTGCAAGAGCTCTCAGATTCGGGTCTTCCGCCTTCTGGGAATCTCTTCATCACATTTCGTATTGGCATTTCGAATCTTGGCCCTGTTGGAGTCTTGGTTCTGCTGGACTTTATCATCTAACTAAAGAGCTAGTTGATGTTTCCCAATCTGCGTCATTGGACTACTGTCCTGTATCCCTAAAATTCTATTCCCTTAAATAGCTCGAAATGGTTTTAAAGTCAACTTAAAATCCTTTAACCATTTCCCACTCTCTTTAGCAATTATGGTGCGAGAAAAAAAAAAGAACATCAGCACCGTTTAAACCCGTATTAAATTCATCCAGTCAAACGACTTCACACTAGATTACCCCAGAAACGCAAGCAATCCGATACTTTGAAGCCCAGTCAGTCGATGCGGGGGGCGAATCCTTTCCTGCTTTTCGGCTTTGTTATTCATATCAATTTCGAATATTTTACGGCAGGCAAAATGAAGCCATTGGCAAACGAATGAATATGGGAATCAGGGGGATATAATATATATATATACAAAACACAGAGGGGTTGCGTAGGTTGGCTTGGCAAAATCGAATTGGGCCTCATCTAATGCAAAGTAAACAAATCCAATTGGATGCGGAAATGAAGACAGGTTCAACGAGGGGTGACTTTATTCTTTCACAATTTATGAGTTAAGTCACTTCTAAGGGTTGCCAGAGAAATGAACATTTATTTCTAAAAAGCTTGCCTATTATTATCTATTATTATTTCAAATTATATATCCAAACATTATCTCTGTTTTTTTCCATGACATACTTAAGTTGTCTGGGCAAACTCTGCTGTAGTAGTCCACTCGACAGCGTAACGGAGGGTGCATTAACCAAGTCCATGACTAATCCGTAAATTACTCCCAATTTTCGCCCAAGAACTCGGCATTATCCCGGCAGGAATTGCGTGAAACACGGTTTGCCGCAGAAGGGATTATAAGCAGTCGGCTTAAGTAGGAGCAAAAAAAGGAGAAAAAACCCAGAACCAACGGTGGTGAGATGACGACACCTTTGCGGCTGACCCGGACGGAGAGCGTCATCATCATCCCTTAACCAGACTTGCCAACCGGGCGTATGCGTATTATGCGCTCACACACGAAGCGCGTCGACAGAGTTGATTACGTATACGCAACGATGGCCCATGAGTTGATTACGACGGCACTGGCGACGAAATGTATGCCAAGTAATTTGCATAAACCGCGAATCGGACGCCCGCAGACAGACATTCGTTGACACAGATGATCGGCATCAAAGGAGGTGCGAATAACCAGCCGAGTATGTGAATATAATGAAGACTGGTTGGCATAGCCATAGTCCTCAGAGAAATACCCAAAAAAAAAAACAAAACAAAAATACAAAATACTTAGCAGCCACCCCCCTTTTGCTTTTTTTCTTTTTGTTTACTACAAAAATGAGCTGCCAAACGTATGGTCAGGAACCTAATCTCTGCTACTGCCAACCTATGGGATCAGAGCGCTGGCTAAGGCATCCCATCTCCCCAGATGATACGATGACCCGGCTGGCCTTGAAATACAATACCAGCATCGGGAAGCTATGCCGAGCCAATAGGATGCACTATCAGGATGTCTTACAGGCACGACATCACATCTGGGTGCCTTTGCCCACGGATCATTGTCAATCAGAGTCTTCACTCGAACCAGAACTTCAAGAAGGTTCACAGATCCATTACACAGGCAAAGCGAGCAACTTGCCACCCCATTTCTTTCGCCAAAGTGCACCAAATCCGAATGACTTTGCCAATGAGGAAGATCCCCTGCTGATCACCACCAAAATCGTGTGGACCGATCTTCTGCAGCAAACCAAGTAGGTACACGCGCTCGCTGTCGCTCGGCGGCAATTTTATTTAGAAAACCACATTAGAAAGCAGCAGGCAGGAGTTTCCATGCTTCATGCCATGGCACAGAGAGAATTTACCTACCAAATTGTTTGTATATTTTTATATTTATATTTTAATTTTAATACAAATGTTTCCCGAAAAGCTATCTAAGTTTCTCATAATCTTGTCATACCGCACTTTAGCTACCTTTATCCTTTTGCTAAGAGCCAACATCGTTTTTTGGTCTTTTTGAGCTTGGCTGTCTGGCATTTTAGAGCCCGACGCAGCGGAAACAAAAGGAGCGAAACGATGCCAAAAAAGCGAATGCAGGCGGCGATGCCAGCCGACAACCGCGACAACCTCCTGTCGCGCTGATTAGAAAACCCCCTTGGGGCTCCTTGCACTGAAATTGGCTCTTAATTGTGGCAGAAGTGAATTTGCCAGCAGCAGGATGCAATTAAGACATTCAGCGTTGCGCTGCTCCTTGTTGTTGCCGCGATTTTCGCTCACTTAGCTGGACGTTTTGAGAAGCGCGTAGAGAGGCGTTCGCTTCATCGCTTCCCCCGGTTAGGAAATCCGTGTGCTCCGGTCCAGATAAGCCCCCTCTGCTCATATTCAAATGCGAATATTAACTAATCTGGACGAATGAAAGATACATAGGAAGAGAAAGAGAGAGCGAGCGAGACGGCGGGCGATGGGAAGGCCAGGACACCCACTCATCCGGATGGCTCCTCGCAGCACCAAAAAAAGAAAAAAAAAGGACAACGGGGAATATGCGTACGTGCTCGTGTGATAAATTCACATTTTCCGGCTGACAAGCGGCAGCCAGGACAATCGCCCCGGCATTGATAGACACGATGGGCGGCGAGGTCGTGGAACGTGAAGCCAGGTGAAATGGCAGCCGTGAAACGTAGCGGAACGCCGGTGTCAAAAAGGAAGTGCCAACAAAAAAGCCACCAAAAAAAAAATTCCACCCAAAAGTCGAGGTGGGTGCAAGAATGAAAGAGAAGTGGAAGAGGATGTAGGGTGTGTGGGAGGCTAGCCGAGAAGAGAAGAGGCCACATTTTGTGCCTTTCTGACAGACGCAACTTTGAAATTGCTCTGATTATGCGGAGGGCGAGGGCGAGGGGTTCGAGATTGGAGAATCGAGAACGAGAATTGAGTCTCGAGGTTTGGGTTTCGGGTTTCGGGTCTCGAGACTCGGCACTCAACGGCATGTTGACAATGATAACGAAGTTGGTCACGGCCCTCTGGTTACACTTAGAAAAAAAGGTGTAAAGTGGTCACCTAAGTTTTTGGATTATATTTGCATGGTAAATGATGCCTAAAGTCTTCTTCTGAAAGATGAACTTGAAAAGGCTCTATATTTGAATCCTACTTTGATTTTTTAGTTCATTAGAAGAAAAAGAACATTAAGGTTTTTAAGGTTTCTCACGTCTTCATAACAACCTTTTTCTCTTTGTGCACTTCAATGGCAATGGCGATGGGGCAGAAAAACAAAAGCGCACATCGCCAAATATCAAATGTCGCATGCCGGCATTAATATTTCATGAGAAATCATAGTTTGCTGATGCGTATAATTCAAAGGAATTGCAATCTGAATTAATTTTTGAATGCCAAGCAGCCAGGTGGCATTTATATTGATTCGCTTTAGAATTTACATGGCTTGCCGCCCAATCGATTGATTGATGAGTGGGTCAGACAGTTCGATTTTATGGTGATGGTGAATGATACTGATACTGATGGTGATGGTTATGGTTCTGGGGCTTATGATGATGTTGGGGAGTGCATTTGGTACTCTGATATTTGCGGATCGATGGCCAAAAGTTGCACAAAGAACAAAGTTTTGCGAACGAAACTCATTTATTTGTTTTCCGCCGTGACAGTTGAACCATGTAATTATACACAGACAGCCGAAGCTTCACCCTAACCATTCTGATATTCCCCATTCGGAGACCCATTCGGAGACCCATTCCCCATTCCCTTTGGCTGCAGTTTCTGGTTTGGGGTTTTTCAGGCGACTTATGAATTATGACAGTTTTGCACACCACGCACAACTTTTGGCCGGGCTTTCAAATAGAAATTATTAGAAAGTTTCTAGCGAAAGCGAAACGAACGTTTGGGATAGGGCGTGGAGGGTGGTGAAGGACAGCTGCATGGCATGAGATTAGTGCAATTGGGTGGTAGGGATCGGATCTCTTTGAGAGAATGAGAAATGGCTGAGGGGCCCAAAATCCACAATCCACAATCCAAGGCATTCTCAATATTGAACGTTTTGAAGGTTTTCGTTGAGTTTTTGATTTATGTCTGTTTGCCAGAGGAGTAAAATGGTTCGGCTGGGCGGCAATGTGGCATTCGGGGGATTATGTTCCCATATTCACATATGCATATGTAAGAGTATGTATGTCTGTATGGATGGATGGTTGGTTGCTTGGAACAGATGCAGCTAAGCGACAATTGTCATCTGAACATATTTTCTTTAGCGCTAGTGCTGGATTTTATCCAACGACCAGATTATGAAGTTCTTGCAAGCCAAATGGTAATATTTCTCATTGCCATTATAAAGCAATCTTTTATGGAATCAACCAGTTGCTGGGATTTATATTCTTCGCAGGCGTTAAATGAAGTTAAAACTATGTTCCAGCTTTAAGAAAAGTAAGTAAGTCGTGTATATTACTACTTTTTAACATACTTTCTGTTATATACCACAAGGGAAAGGGGAAAGTATAACAAGAAAGTATAACCAGAAAAGCTATTTAACCATTAACCAGCATATATTTATCCCATCACATCCAAGACATCGCACATTTCGCTTATGCCAATTATTAATTGCAAATTTCGAGGCATTCAGCCGTCGCATGAGAAACAATCAACAATCATCATGGCCAACTGGCCAGATGAAGGTTATTGAATTACATTAAGAGCAGACGTTGCAGTATTGGTAGGAGATCTCGGGTAGGACCTCAAAATGGAAAGACCAAGAAGTCTGCGGTACTGCGTCTTAAGATGCACAGTTGGATTCACACCTGTACCGTTGTCATCGTCATCGTCAACGCCTTCATCATCATCCGAGATACAATCATCATTCATTCGTGCAATGTGGCATTCATTTATGCATTCATTCGCATCTTTCCCAACTACCTGACTCTTTCATGCCCCGCTACATCCTTCTCTTTCTGTTGCTCTTTTTGTTTCGCCATCTCAGTCGCATCTTCGTTTATTCGCTCATTTAAGCATTCGTGTTGTCGTTTCAGTTTCAATTTGCCTTGGCAACATTTTCGCAAATGTCTTTTTAATTGATTCGCAACGATGCGAATGCGAATAACGTAACGAAAGAGAGATGCTCGTTCTGAATGAGACGGTTATAAGGAGGGGAGGAGAGGGGAAGAACGATCTACCTACCACCTACCAGGCTGTCGAGTGTAATTATAAATTGAATTAAAAGGCGCACATTTCGTCTTTTAATTCTGCTTGCTGCTTGAGCTTAATTAAAATTTCATTATGTCTCTCTCATATATATATTCCCTTCGCTGAAGGATGCCAGCAAAATATGGTGGGGAAATGTAAGAAACAAAAACAAAAAACGAAGAACCCAAAAAACAAACCGAGACAAAAAAAAACTACAGAACGACGATATATGCAGAGAATATATTTGACAAGCAGCTTTACGAGCGAGCAGTAAAAATACTTGTTCTCCATTAATGTTCGCCTAATGCATGCACAATGCCACTCCTTCTCCTCCTCCTCCCCCTATTATTATGCACAAAAAAAAGTAAAGACAAAGGCAACAAAAAACTACCAGAAAATACTGCCAACAAAAAAGGCTTTAAGCAACAACAAAAAGGGAGAAACAGAGAGAGAGAGAGAGAGTGAAATGGCAGTGCAACTTGTCGACATGAAATGTTGTTGTCATTCTGTCTGGCAATTGCCCTTATTGTTGTTGCTACTGTAGTTTATCGTCTTCGGTCTACATATATATAAATATATATATATGTATATTTCCTTCTTTTTTTTATGCATTGCAAGTGTTTTGGTGTTGTGCTGTTGTTGAGTTTATGCATTGCAGCATTGTAGTAACAAAGCATAGCATAGTTTTTAGCGCAAATCAAAATGATTGATGATGATGGCCGCTCTAGATCTAGCACCCCTCATATGAAATTCCCCGCCCACCATGTCATGTCCTCTTCTTGCCACTACAACAACAAAAACAACAACACCTACACCAACAACAACAACAAAAACAATAGCTACATTCACTTGACAGTTATGGCTGCTGATATGCTGCAAATAAACTAAATAAATCCTCTTTTGTGTAATGTCATTTTTGTGCCACTTTGTTTTCAAGGCAAGCACCATGTACCGTGAATTTTCCAAGAGCAGATGAGTAAAAAAAAAACAAGGAGAAGAAAGAGATAGAGATAGTTGTGACACTGGCATTGTCTATTTCAATTTCCAAGTTTGGCTGTTGCCAGAATTGTTAGCAATCGATTATGAATTTTAATGCGAGCTCAACGAGGTGTAACTTTCATTCACTAACTTTATTTTTCAAGGACATTAGGTATAAATCAATTCTCGATTTTTTAATAAGCGTTAACATCGTCTGTTTAGCGAAAAAATTCAAAAAACTAAGATTTTTAGCTGTGAATGCAGTTTTGTTGGATATTTAACCACGAGTTCAGGGAGATATTACATTCCACATTTGGATCATTATTGGCCAAGTTATAAGCAAAGTGCTGTCGAGCTTGGAGAAACCAAAATTCGCATTTTCGTAAGGGGTTACATCATCATTTTTTAAGAAAAATAGTTAAAATTTCACATTTTAAAGTGTGAACACAGTTCGAGAGAAATTTGAATTACGAGTTCAATAAGGTATATACATACTTTTATCTTTATTGTTCTGAATTTTTAGTGCGAGCTCTGGTTTAAGGGCTGAAAATCAGAAAACAGAATTTTAACAAAAATTGGCAATACAGTGATCGGGTTTTTAGCTCTAGCTCGGTCAAAACAAGCCGCAGAGCGAAAAGAATAACTGTTTTGTGCTGCTAACGACCAACACTAACTACCCCTATCACTTGATTTTCGATTATGGGAAAATCAATTTTGGCCCAAATTTCGCATTTTTGATAAGGGGTACCATCATCAAAATTTTCAA